TTTGTCACTAAGGAAAGGAGAAATGGAAACCACTCGGTGAAAAGGGTGAATGCTCCAGTCTGAAATGGCTCACACAGAGCTGGAGTTCACACTGGCATTGCTTTTGCTAGGAGCAGGGAAGTGTAACTCCTTTGGGAATTTAAATACTACAAGAATAACCTGGTATTTGGCACATATATGTACTCTTCAGGAACTTCTGGTAAAAAATGAAAACAAATAAAACTTATTAATCCTCTTGTGAGAAAAACACACCGAGACAACTGGTGTAGGATGCGCTGTCAGTCCAAGCAGTGGCAGTGTGAGAGGTATTGTACCTGTCATACCTGGTTCTCATAGGTTTCCTCCTGGTATCTGATGGGAACATCTCCTGAGAACACGTAGGTGTACACCTGATGGTCACAGGCTATTCCCCAGCAGCACTGTTTGACAGCAGAGACCCGTTTGAATTCCAGCTGTGTGTCCTTACACAGCTCCCAGTACTGGCCAACAGTGGAGAGAGTGTAAACCCTCCCAAAAATGTCAACAGCCCACAAAAGGGAACTGGGCATGGCCATATCTGAAAGGCAAAAATGAGGTTATTACTGGAAATGATAGGTACAAAAATGGATCTTGAACCATTTATCTTGCAGATCAGTCATGCTCTGAGCCATCATCAGTCAAATTAAATAAAGATGTAAGTGATGATTTTTTAAAAAGAGCCTGTGCAAAGCTGGTAGCTAGATCTCTTTGTCAGAGCTGTGCAGCCCACACCTCTCAGATATCCCTGAAAAGCCATAAGAAAGACCTTTCTACCAGCCCATCTACTACTGTCCATCCTACAAGAGCTCAGAAATAAACAGGACACCTCTGGCAGGCTGGGGACAGATGTTAGTTCAGACGTGGGTTCAGAAAACCACAAAGCCCAGAGCTCCACGGACTCTGCAGCTACAAAAAGCATACCAAGGGGAACACAGGACTGCCACAACGTGGCTCCCTCCACACCTTTCTGCTTGGCACTAGCTTCACCCTCATGAAGTTTCTACTGCTCCACCTAGGGTTAGGGTTATGCCTAGAGTTAGGGTTCAGAAAACCACAAAGCCCAAAGCTCCAGGTGAAAGAGGAATTCTTGTTTGGAGTCGGTGTGGAACACTTCTTTGCTGTCAAATGGCAATTCTGCTTTTAATACAAGAGTCTAAGGAGAGCTGCCCTGCCTGCCTGCTTTGTGATACAAGTGGAGGCACACAGGGACTGACTTGCACTGTGTATGTGAATGGCAGTGGAGAAACTGGAGAATCTCACACAGCTGGGTCAAAGAACAGCACAGGAAATTCCCAAGGGATCCCAGGGACAATATATCAGGAGTCTTTGTTTCCTAGAAATTCTGATGCTAAGTACCTAAAAACCTGGATCCAACAGATGAAGTTGAACAGGTAACACTGATAAGAAAACACAAAGCAGCAGAGAATGAGTGGTACCAGGGGAAGGCCTGAGCAAAATTCTATTGCATGTAGCATAAATAAAACGAATCCTCTGCTTTTTCCCTCATTGCTCCTGGCACTTTGAATGCATGCATGTTTGTCTGCACTTGGATCAGCCATTTGCCTTCTTTATGTCTTCCTATAGTGGAGTACAGAAGGACATAACATGGAATAATGGAATGGAAGGAAATGAAGATAAGGTGAAAAGTGTGTGTGTGTTTGTGTGTACCACTGGGAAAATAAAGGCCATGAAAACAACCCTTCAGTATTAGCATTTAAAATCCTCCAAAACAGTGTTTATAACAGAAGAAAATATTACACTTCAGCAACCAGAATGCCAGAGAGTCTGGAGTAAAGGAAGCATTATGGATAATGCAACAACGACAGCTACCTAGCTAGTTAACAAATAAAAGTGATGCTTGGGTCTCTTAAAGAGAGGCAAAAATATAAATGAAGGCCTGTACCTGGAATGACAGTCCAGGCAGGCAGAAAAGTACCTGGAACAGTTTGGGAAAAGGTGATGAAAGTTCCAAAGATTATGAAGTTAAGAAAAGGTGGGACAATTAAAATAACACAGGCTAATGCAACTGGTTTAAAATACTCAAGACAGCCATGACAAGTGAGAGTTTCTACATATTCTTTCAGCTGAACTTTTGAGACAGTGTTTGGGGAATCATGGGAAAATCCCAAATGCATTTGGGATTATCAACTTTAAGACTTCACTTTAGGCCCCTTTGCACTGGCTGTGCTGCAGATGAAGACAAATATTGCCCAATTTTGAAGGATGTTCAGTGCTGCTTGTCTATGTGCTTTTCAGTGAAGGCAGAAGTTGTATTCTCAGGGGCCTGTAAAAAATCAGATCTTCTGAATTATTCCTCACCTTGCAGCTCAGACAGGTAATTTTGGACAGAACTAAAATGCCTAAATGAAGACAACATATTGTTAATTAAAATTTCCAGTGGCCTGGTATAATGCTGATTGCTACAGAATTCAAGAAAAATATCCCAACTCCCTGAATACAATAAAAACAATGATGTTCCTCGGGAGAGCAGGGCCCTGTCCCCGAGTTCAGGCCGTGGCGGTGGCAGGATGTGAACCAACCCAGGACTCGACGTGTTCCAAGGCACACCGCGCACACATTTCTCCTCCGTGCCTCACGAACCGAGCGGGGACTCCTCCGGTACCCCCGTCCAGCCACGGACGCGCCGCTCGGAGCCCGCGGGGATCCCAGAGCGCTCCGCAAACGCGCCCAGGCGCGCAGCGCACCCGGCAGCCCCGCACGGGGCCCTCCCGGCCGGGCATTAAGGCCGGATCGGCTTAGGAGCCGTGCGGGGCTGCGGCGCCCCGGCCTT